CCCCAAAACCCCAAAACCCCAAAACCCCACTTTTGGATATCAGGATTGAAACTTAGTTGAGGGGCCACAATTGGATAGTACAGCCTTCTGGATTTGTCCGATTCAAGATTGATTTTGAAGACTTGCAACTGCTCATCTGTTGTCTTTGAGGGGTGTAATGACCAGGCCCAGGTGATTTTTCAAACCTCTCTTTGAACCGATGAGCCTTGTTGAAAGTCACTGGGCTAGAAGAAATTCGGGAGAAATCACTGGGGACTAGATTATTGTAGAACTTAGTGATTTCCTTTCCAGTTATTATTTTTTGCTTTGGTATCATTTTTAGTTCATTTGTGGCTCATCATAAGCTGATTTGTAGATCCTCTTCAACAAATTTTCTCCCTGAGTGACAGATTATAGACTTCTGATGTTTTCTCTTTCTTATAGTTTTTCTTGTTCTTGATCTCATTTTTAGAAACCTTTTCCTACCCTTGTTGATGGGTTTAGGAGAACTAGAAAAAATTATTTTACAATAAAGGGTATTACTTACTGTTCTGGAGTTTTATGTTGATACTGAGCTTTCCTTCTACTATGATTCTAAAATTATATAAAAACCTACTCTTCCCAAATTTTTCGCTGTGAGTGAATTAGTAATCTTAATATTGACTGGTCTAGTATCCTCTACAACTCTCTGAGAAACATCTTTCTCTTGCTCTAATTGGTGCATAAGTATCATTCTCTGCGTAGTCTTCAGGCTACTCTCATTTCCTCCCTCATTTCCATCCTTTTCATCCCTCTCACACCTCCTATCCTCCATCTCTCTACCCTTTCTCCCTCTCATCTCCCTCAAGTCCCCCTCTTTCCATCTCTAATCTCCAAATATCTGTAACAATAATCTCCATCACTGTCCCTAAATCCTTCTTCAACCTCTCAAATTGTTCTGGCCATCTAGTTTCCTCTTCCAGACCACTGCCTTGCTTATTGAGTAATTCCTAAGCCAAATGTGAGATTTTGAGTTTTTGGGAAATTTAAGTTGAGTTTTTACCTTTTCGCTTTGGATGATAGCTTGTAAATCGTTATACACAGGCATCAAATGCCCTTTGGCATGCAATCTCTGAATGAAGGATGCTTCTGGTGACTGCCCTACAGCAGAGCCTGACTCTTGCTGCAGGAGAGACTGAGTATTTGACATTTTTGAATAATTTCTATTTCTAACTGTCATTAGGGGTTTTGGGGTTTTGGGGTTTTGGGGTTTTGGGG